CACAAGATAAGCATATAAGCTCTATCTTCACTTCTCTAGACAAGCATATGAGTTGCGGTTGCGGTTGCGGTTGCGGGGTGTAAAGGCCGTAGCGTAACGGTTGCGGTAACCGGAACCGCGAATTTTTCTATTTTTCGCACAATTTGAAAAAAACTTACCGATACGCATATTTTTTTCCATGATCGTATTTATTGGGTTTTAAAATAAATATTGATCAATTTTTATAAATTTTTAAGTTTGATCCAATATATTTCATATTTTTAAATCACTAAAAACTGAGTTTTTTACATTTTATTTTAATAATTAATGACTTTATATTATACAAAAAATCAATCACTAACTATTATATATAAGATAAACAATGACAAAAGTAAGAGAATAAATAAAACCTAAATATATATATATATTAATCAAACCAAATAGATAATGACCACACTTATTATTATTATTATTATTATTTTCAAACAATATATAGGTAGGCACACACAAACAAAATGGTTGAGTGATAGCAGCTGAATAGAATAACATAGGTCTTACAACTTCAACATATCAGTAACATGTTCTTCATCTTCCCTATTCTCTCTCTATCTGTTGTTCCTCCATCTTCCCTCTTCTCTCTCTATCTCTCTTCCCTCATTTTCAACTTTTTTTTTTTTGTGTGTTTTCGAAAGAAGCAATTCGGAACCGTTACGTAACGGTGCATAACAGGTCGTCACGGCACCGTTACGACCGCTATAGCAGTCGCTACGGCCGATACACCTGTGAATCTCAATCACACTGTAAAAGCGGTGGTAACGGGTGGCGGTAACTATCACAACCGTTACGTAACGGCGTTACGTAACGGTTGCGGCCGCTTTTTAAAACCTTATATTGGTCATTTAGTTTTGTGCTCTTTTGTTTATCCGACCCTGAGAAAATAATTTGTCTTGTGCTCATTGGCCAGGTGTTTGAATCATTTGGTAATGTGGAGCTGGTGCAGTTGCCTACTGACCCGGAGACAGGGAATTCCAAAGGTTTTGGCTTTGTTCAGGTGAAACTTACTGGACCAATTTGCAAGAGTTGTAATTTTGCTGATCAAATGGGAATGTAAAACATCATTTGGATATTAACGTTGGGAAGGAAACTCCAAGGTCGTAATTAAAGCTGACGGCTGTGGGGACATCAGAGATGGAATAATTTGCAGTGATGAAAATAGCTTCTAAAATTTGTAGTAGTGACCTGCTAAGATGCTCTGCTAGATTTCCAATTTAGGTTGCAGACTGATAATAAGTTATGTGGTTTTGTTGCAGTTTGCACGTCTTGAAGATGCTAGAGCTGCACAGAGTTTAAATGGACAGCTGGAGATTGCTGGTCAAATAATCAAGGTGACTTCACTTACCTCTCTCTCTCTCTCTCTCAATTTTTTTTGAGGTAATTACCTAAAAGTCCTATTTACAAATGTTATGGTAGCTTAGGTCCTATTTTAGGGGTTGTTTGGGATGATCTAAATAAGTACATTTTTTGACTTTTTATGAAAGATGGGTTGGGTTTGAAGTGATATGATAGAGAGGTGATGTGACTTAAATAAGATGATGTGATTTAAATAGGATAGTGATTTTTTGGCTTTTTGACTTTTTTAGATTATGACAAACAAGGTCTTAGATTTTTCAAACCAACAAATCTTATTTAGTAAAACTGAGAATATTATCAGTTTTTTTTCAATTTTTAAAACTAAGAATACTATTGGCTATGTTTGGTTTCATTTTTCTAAAAACAGTTTTCAGAAAATTCTACTTTCTTATTTTTCGTGTTTTTTTGTTTTTACTGAATTTTTTTAATATTTTATGCAAATTTTTTACTTTTTAGACACACTTAACATAAAAACACCTAAAAAGTAAAAAAATTGTAAAAAAAATCTTTTAAAAATTCACTAAGTACCAAAAATACAAAAAAAAATACAAGAATTCAGTATATTTTTTTGTATTTTTATGTATTTCTTAATTTTTTAAAATATTTTTCACATTTTTTTTACTTTTTAGATACATCTAAGTAAGGTACATCTAAAAAAGTAAAAAAAAAAATGTTTAAAATTTTAAAAATATTCACTAAAAACAAAAAAATACAAAAATAAAAGAACTCAGTTTTCAAAAAACTTAATCCAGAAAACTCATACCAAACACACTGATTAATTTTGCATAGTAATGGTCCATATAATTGTTTCACTAACTGATGAAAAAAAAACAGAGCATGAGATTAAACGTTTTTGCGCTTCTTCATACTGGTTTGATTCAACTATCCAACAAAATTGAAAACGTTAGTTTTTTTTTTTAGTTTTAAAATTGAGAATATTATTAGTTTTTTCATTTTTAAAGGTTTTCTCTCTCTCTCTCTCTCTCTCTCTCTGGCTTTTTAACTTTTTTAGATTATGACAAACAAGGCCTTAGATTTTTCAAACCAACAAATCTTATTTAGTAAAACTGAGAATATTATCAGTTTTTTTTTCAATTTTTAAAACTAAGAATACTATTGGCTATGTTTGGTTTCATTTTTCTAAAAACAGTTTTCAGAAAATTCTACTTTCTTATTTTTCGTGTTTTTTTGTTTTTACTGAATTTTTTTAATATTTTATGCAAATTTTTTACTTTTTAGACACACTTAACATAAAAACACCTAAAAAGTAAAAAAATTGTAAAAAAAATCTTTTAAAAATTCACTAAGTACCAAAAATACAAAAAAAAATACAAGAATTCAGTATATTTTTTTGTATTTTTATGTATTTCTTAATTTTTTAAAATATTTTTTACATTTTTTTTACTTTTTAGATACATCTAAGTAAGGTACATCTAAAAAATTAAAAAAAAATGTTTAAAATTTTAAAAATATTCACTAAAAATAAAAAAATACAAAAATAAAAAAACTCAGTTTTCAAAAAATTTAATCCAGAAAACTCAAACCAAACATACTGATTAATTTTGCATAGTAATGGTCCATATAATTGTTTCACTAACTGATGAAAAAAAAACAAAGCATGAGATTAAACGTTTTTGCGCTTCTTCATACTGGTTTGATTCAACTATCCAACAAAATTGAAAACGTTAGTTTTTTTTTTTAGTTTTAAAATTGAAAATATTATTAGTTTTTTCATTTTTAAAGGTTTTCTCTCTCTCTCTCTCTCTCTCTCTCTTTCAGTTTTGCACATCAATATTCTATCATTATGCTCCTTCATAGACACAATTTTCAGTTTTGCACAAAAAAATAATTTAGTTTTTTAAAAAAACTCAGTTTTCAAAAAATTTAATCCAGAAAACTCAAACCAAACATACTGATTAATTTTGCATAGTAATGGTCCATATAATTGTTTCACTAACTGATGAAAAAAAAACAGAGCATGAGATTAAACGTTTTTGCGCTTCTTCATACTGGTTTGATTCAACTATCCAACAAAATTGAAAACGTTAGTTTTTTTTTTTTAGTTTTAAAATTGAGAATATTATTAGTTTTTTCATTTTTAAAGGTTTTCTCTCTCTCTCTCTCTCTCTTTTCAGTTTTGCACATCAATATTCTATCATTATGCTCCTTCATAGACACAATTTTCAGTTTTGCATAAAAAAATAATTTAGTTTTTTCAATTTTTTCTAAAAAACACTTTTTTTTTTTTAGTTTTTTCAATTTGAAAGTTGATATTTTAAAGTTTTGAAAATTAAAATAAATGTCAAATCATCATGTTTTTTTATAGATAATCATAAATGATGAACAATTATTGTTTGAAGGGCAATTCTGATTATTAAAATTTTACTGGAACTTAAAGGTTCAAAAAATCTTAGTTAGGACTTAAATAGAGTATAAGTTCATAAATTAGGATTTGTGTGTAAATGTTCAGTTTTTTTATTTTTTTGGCCTACACCTGAGTGTGTGCAGACATTCGGGGTCTGAAGTATCACTCAAACTCAATGGGTGTTAAATAATCAAGGATTGGCTTACGTTCATTAAGAGCATGCTTTTGAGTCTCCCAACATATTTCACGTTCTTGCATACGATATTTGCCTGTATGAACCTCACCATCTCATCCACATCTGCCTTTCCCTAGGAAGAGACTTCACCTTTTCAACAAGGAACCCCTCTCTTTCCCAATTGTAATTAATGGAACACCCCCAAGTTGCATATTTCTCTCTGACCTTCTACGCTCCCCTCTTTTGTGAGCTCTTATGTGGCCCACCCACTCTCCTTTCTGCTTCAATAGCTTCAAACAGACTCATAGCTATCTTCAAAACCGTCGCAAGAAACTCCCATGAATCTTCTAAAATCTTTTATACGCTATTACACTAGAAAACTCAGTCGGATATTTTCTTTGGTTTCACCTTCCCATTAGTCAAAAATTTATCCCACCACAAATCAACCTCTGTCCAGCCACTGCCACTGGTGAGCAGTGCAGTGGGGTATTAACCTCCCCTTGCCATGGCATCCTCCAACATCCCTTCCTATCCCTCCCTACTAGGTTCATACAAAGGCCATTTACTGGCCTCATCCTGCCCCATCACCTCAAAACCTTGACTGCTAACCTCCTCCTCAGAGCTACTGTTTGAATCTTCTATACCCTCTCTCTGTTTTATCACATCATCTGCTTCCCCAAAGCATGACAACATATTAGCAGCATCACTGTCTGCTTGCCTTTCAGGACCCAGCAACAACCCAGACCCATCCCGCCTGAATCTGTTTGAAAATCAAACCTGCACTGTGTTGGCACAGGAACCTCTGCTGGCATGATGCACATCTGAGGAAGATGGCACCAGACCCTTAGCACCATTGTCGAACAAGGAAAGGTCTTTCCTGAACTCTAGACATGATCGCAGCAAGCTTAAAACCTGCTCTGAGAGCGAGATTTGAGCCCCATTCAAAAAAAGTAAGCATAAACCTTCACAGTAACTATCTTCACCTCCTGTCCTCCCCCTCTTACTATGAATGACTGAGAGCCTTACTTCGAAGCTCCATCCTGTGAATCCACTTCTTCGCTTGAACCTTCATTCAACAGCAGAGCAAGGTGAGAATCACCCTTCGCCTATTCTAATTATGAAGTAGCGCCATGTCTTCCTTCCCCATCCTGCACTGCCAGTATGTTTAGTCTCCGTGCCCATCTCCCTCTCTGATAACCCAGCGAATCTGTTAGAGGTAGATGGGCCAAGATCCTCATCCAAACAGACTTCAAGACCTAATAGGGCTGCAAATGAGTGTCCAATACCTGAAAATTTAAGCTTCTGTTAATGGCCACCAATTTTTTTGAAGTGGGCTGCCCCACTTACTTTGGCTGGGCCCTAATTTTATTTTGAGGCCTCTGGACTTGTGTTACCAGAAAACACTAATACCCAAACAAATTACGTATTGGTACACATGTTCCGAAACATGGTACACTTACATTCCGAAATGGTAAATTTAGTGATCGAAAGCAATCCCAAAAGTTTTTTTTCTTTTCAATATATGTCCTTAAATGTTACTTTAGGACGAAAAAAAAATCAAATATAATAAACTAAAATCGAAGGTGAGTTCAGTTTTGGCTAGACAAAAACATTAAAAAATGGGTCATAATGCTCATAAAAACATTACATTTTATTGGATGCCTAACCGTTAAAAAAAATCTACTCTAGAAGTACCTTAAATTCCTAAGTATAATATATACAAGTCTGTTAAAATCCACCTACTCTCCACCTATTTCACCCACTTAAACCTACTCCACTAAACCTAACCCACTACACCACTACCACATCACCTACTCCACTAAACCTAACCCACTACACCACTACCACCTCCACTTCACCTACTCCTCACCTACTACACACTCACCCTCTCCTATATATAGGAATCATTGTAACCATAACTATATATCAATCAATATAACATTAATATCAATCAATAATACAATTCTCTATTTCTCTTTATACATTAAATTTTCTACAAAGTCTACTTCTATCGTACCACATTTTAGAGTATGTGGTGTACCCCGTTCCCGTTCCCATTCCCATTCCCATTCCCGTTCCCGTTCCCATTACATGTTCCGGAATGATCCACGTTCTAGGTAACATAGCTTTCAACATAACAAGCAACACAAAGCACTGTCACCGACTCTCAGCCCAGTCCATGTGATCCTGTCCCCCATCAGTATGAAGTCCACTTCTAGCTGCTGACGGCCCATCACCAAGCCGACCTCATCTGCCCCCTAGGTGCAACCTCGCTAAAAACTGGAAAGCATAATTGTACCAAAAACCCTTCTCTGGATTTCTCATTTTGGATAGTCTCTTTTATCTGCTCTCTTTCATTGTGTAGGTGTCAGCTATTACTGATCAAGTTGGAATGCAAGATGTCGGGGTAAATGCTGGTGACTTTGATGATGATGATGAAGGCAGTGGTTTGGTTAGTCATTTATCTGAAATTTGGATGATTTATGGAAACTCATATTGATTTTTGTTGTTGTGGTCCTTGAACTGTTTTAATCTGTGTAACTCAGTATGCACATGGTTATTTTGTTTTCGACTGATGAACAATTGTCTGGAAAGCTAAAGCCATGAATGCATGCCATCACATGGTTTCATTTTTTTTCCTGTGCACATTGCTAAGTTGTCATTTAATTCAATTCTCCAAATGTATTTGCACGCATTGAACCACACTTCTGCTTCCTTGTTTACATTTGGAACCTAAGTTATCTTTCCTCTTTGTTAAAAGTTATTCCAGCACACTATTTAAATATGGAAGCTCTAGATAAGTAGTTTCAATGTTACATGGACACATTGAATTTTTTTTTTTTTTTTAGCCCTGGTGTAGAAGGTAGTTTGCTTACCTTTGATGAAATTGATCAAAACTGAGCATCTGTAATAGACTTCCGTAGGCTAGATGAGGTTTGTTGCTAGTGGATAACTATGATCTTTTGAGTTGACTGGAAATGAATCACTACGTTCAAACCACTTTGCGTCACAAGAGGTGGCATGGGATAGGCATGAAATACATTAACTAGAGAAGGCTTGGTGATCGAGAAAACTTGTGCTTTTTTGAACTGGCAGTCCTATATCAGAGTCATTCATTTCTTTGCCTGGCTTTGTTTCCTTCTATGTAAAGACACTGGTGCATATATTCCAATCATAATTGATGTTTCATGCTATACATGGTTTAATCTTGTTTCTTTTCTATATCCTTTTTTATTATTATTATTTTTTGGTTAAAATTTTGTTTGTAATGAGTTTTTGTCAATTTGCATATACTTGTAATTATGACTTAGGATTTAGTATACTTATCTTGAGTCCTGGTACTGGTTTTTAAATAATTTTCAGGCTCTAAATGCACGCTCTCGAGCACTTCTTATGCAGAAGTTGGATCGTAGTGGCACTGCTTCAAGGTTTGGGTTTGTCAAATTTCTAATTGCCTCATGAATTGATCTGGTTAATCTTACATCTTCTGTTGTCTGCAGCATTGCTGGTTCACCTAGCACCACTGTTGCTAATAGCCCTGGGTTTGCACTTCCAACAGCATCAATTCTTGGTGCCACACCTGCAGTTCCTCCTCTCATTAGTCCTCTTGTACAGGCTTCTGTTCCTGTTCTTGCAGGATTACCAAGTTCAGGTCTTTCAGTTCCCACTGTTACTGTTCCTTCTTTTGATACAATTGGTGTTCCGAGTGAGTGTTTATTGTTGAAGAACATGTTTGATCCAACGTTAGAGGTTAGTACACAAACTTTATTACAGGTTTTATTTTTCTCGCTTCTGTTGCTGGCTATACTTTAACCATAATATATTTTGCAGGTGGAACCAGACTTCGATCTGGATATTAAAGAAGATGTTGGAGATGAATGCTCAAAGTTTGGAACACTAAAACACATATATGTGGACAAGTAAGCATCCACACGGTTTATTTTCTCATATCCATCTTCTTTACATGTGATGAGAATCTTCTAGGATTTTGAAAATTTGACAATGTGTTGATTGGAAGCCCTTGCATCTCAGTTGGGCAGCCAATTTGGGAAATATGCCAAATTACTCTTTGGCATCATGTTGTCTTATTTGGCTAAATTTGGATGCTCGCAGATGTGGATTTTGATTGTCCTTTTAACTTTTTTCAGCCTATCAAAAAAGCAAGTTTGGCACACCCTTAATTAGGTGGTGTCAGTTTTTTTGAAGCTTAAAAGTTAGTTGGTCCTACCACGACAGTTTCACTGGTTTTGATGAGAGAAGAAAGGAAAAACACTAGATTTGGTCATATTTGTCCTACTATGACACATTAAGTTAGTAAAAACACAAGAAATGGTCATAGTGTCAATGGACCTTAATATAACTTGGTGTTGGTAATGCAAGTTGTTAATACATACATGCATGAAAATGATGCAATAATGCGTCAAAATATATTTGCATGTACAATAAAATCAGTAGGAAAATTTTATTTTTAAAACATTTTCCAATGATTAGAAAGTTTATGACATATGGTCAATGAGTTTTCTCTGAGTGATTAATTAGTCTTAGCATTGTCCCTTCAGATTCAGATACTTAATATTGATTAATATATTTGAAGCCTTCATACCTAGAAGGCTAGAATAGAAAACCTAAAATACTCTCTTTTTCTCTACTTCCATGAATTTATTTTTTTACTTTTTATTTTTTATTTATTTATTTTTTGTGTGAATTATTCATTCTACACTTCTCATGAAGCTTCGAGGTTTCGGGGAAAGAACAATAAACAACATATTGCCAATCCTCACTCCATTTTTATGTTTTTAGGTATATAGTATTGCTAAATTTTAGTAAGAAATATTATGGTCTCGACAAATTTCTTCTGTTATGCAGTAGTTCTGACATGTGTTACGATAAATCATAATCACCTTGCTTGTTTCCACTTTTCAAAAAACACTTTTCAGAAAATTTTACTTTCTTATTTTCCGTATTTTTTTGTTTTTACTGAATTTTTTAAATATTTTAAGCAATTTTTATACTTTTTAGACACACCTAACATAAATACACCTAAAAAGTAAAAAAATTGTAAAAAAAATACAAGAATTCAATACATTTTTTTTTGTATTTTTATGTATTTATTAATTTTTTAAAATATTTTTTCACAAATTTTTTACTTTTTAGATACATCTAAGTAAGGTGCATCTAAAGAAGTAAACAAAAAATGTTTAAAATTTAAAAAATATTCACTAAAAACAAAATAGCACGAAAACCAAGAAAGTCAATTTTCAAAAAACTTAATCTAGAAAACTCAAACCAAACACACTGAATGTTATTTGATACTTGAAACTTTTTGTTGGAGAAATTGCTTGTTGATTTAATGTACACAGACTAGAGAAATAAAGTCGTTACATCAGAAGTAACCATACCGAAAGTTCTGTTGTGGTCTTGTCATACCCTCAAATTAACCTTGCTTTGGTTTAAAGCTCTTAAGCCCAATCTTTGAAGTTTTTCATCCTTTGATCCAGCTGACCCCCAGTATAGTTTTGTTATAAACTGTTTTTTGAACATATTAGTCAGTTTTGGGGCTGAATGAAATCACCTGATGCCTCAACCATACTTAACCTTGGCTTGCTCTTTCTTCAATCCATAACAATTTCAACAAGGGGAGGGAAAAATAAGCCCTAATTTGCAGTTCGAATTGGTTCATGTAGCCTCTTTGACATTAGTAACAGTGGTAGCATATCAAAACCTATTTTATTGTAATTTTTGTGAAGATGGTAAGGATGCTACTTTGTCCCTTATTTGCACATAAGATCATAATTTGTTTAAATAATTGACTTTCCCAAGATGTGATTTTTGTGTTGTCAATATTTTGACATGACATCTAGAATTTAATTTAACTAATCTTTCATCAAAGATAAATGAGATCAACATGAGATGCTGAACCCCTAAAAGTCCAGTGGAAGCTGAACTATGCTTGTTAAATGAACTACTATTTGAAGAGGAAAATATCCACACCTAACCATGAAAATTGGGTAGAATGACTCTTTTCTTTTTCTGGTGTATGCTTTCTTTGACCAGGTCTGAGAATGTTAGAATTTACCATAAACCTACCACCACTACCACCTCACCTACTCCACTAAACCTAACCCACTACACCACTACCACCTCACCTACTCCACTAAACCTAACCCACTACACCACTACCACCTCCACTTCACCTACTCTCCACCTACTCCCAAACACACTCCTATATAATAGGAATCCTTGTAATTGTAATATCTACACAAATCAATATCAATCAATAATACATTGAATTTTAACTGAGAATGTTTATGACGCCTTTAGTCCCAAAATCATATGCAATTTTCTTATAAAGTAAATCCATCATTTCTTCATACAGAGTTGAACTTCCCTAGATAAAGTATTTTGAGGAAATTTAACTGTCTAATTATCCGTCCACAAGGGGCACTGGGAATGCATTAGTGAATTGCAGATATAACATATTACTTGGTTTGTATGAATTTTGCAATGTAAAGCATATGTATTCAGGGTTGAAAATTTGATATATGTATGCACGGTTATTATCCATTCACATGTTTAATTACCAAACAGCTGTGGATGTATTGTATTTTAGCATTAAATTCACCACTTTATTTGTCCAACAGGAATAGTGCTGGGTTTGTATATTTGCGATTTGAAAATACACAAGCTGCAATAAATGCACAGCGTGCCCTCCATGGGAGATGGTTTGCTGGGAAGATGATCACAGCTACATTCATGGTAAATTTTATTTATTATATATGAGATTATTTATTTTTATTTTCAAATTTCATGATAAACATTCATGGTAAACGTTTGATCTTTGTTTCCTTTTCCTCATTATTTCTCAAAAACATGTCTAAAATGATGACAGCAACATTCACTATAAATGATTTATTTTTTATTTCATGGTAAAACATGTGTAAATGAATATCATTGACGGTTATGCAGGTGCCCCAGAACTATGAGGCCAAATTTCCTGACAGCAGATAGGATGGTGGGATAGTGGATGCAATAGGAATCTGAAACGACTGTAGTCCAGCCAATGCCTGCATGCTGATGTGGCGGCTTCGCCACGTTCATCCAGTTTTGGCTGGCTTAGAATGGCTCGTGTACCTGAACCAAAGTAGTCATCCTCCGTTGCAGCAACAGATATGACTGCTGTCGAGGACACGCACAGTTTCCAAAGGTTTTCATAGAATCGTTTGATGCACAAAGGATATGGAATATCAAAAAGTACTGATCACTGATCAGGATCAAATTTCATAAACTTACTATTCTGTACGTGAAAATTTGTGGAGTGATTGATTGTTAAATGGTATTAATGGTTGGCAGATAGAACTTGCTGGTTTTGATAGTTGCAAAGCTCATGATTTCTTCACTCAAATCACTTGCTTGTGTTGTGTTTTTCGACAACTTTGACATTTAGATGGAGCATCATTATTCACCATGGAGCTCAAATGGTAATTAGACTTATTTGACAAAAAGGGTGGGGGTTTAAAACACCCTGCATCATATCTTCCCATCTCCCTGTTGCAAGGGATAAGCTATTCAGGTGTTAATGAGACCAAAAAAAAAAAAATGTCATCTTTTCATGGAGTAATTTGATGAGTTAAATTTTGGTCGAGTCAGGTTGCTTTGTGCCATATGCTATTTTTTGTTAGAAAATCACAAGAGTCATTGGCCTTAATTTTAGACCAAATTATAATATAATGGTGGAAGGAGCAAAGAAAGCATTAAAATGTGAAAATAATAAGGGGTGAATGTGCAAAGAAAGCATTAAATTGTAATAAAAAAGTCATTATAAAAATAATTAATTATTCTTTTTATTTTTAATTTTTTTTATTATAAAAAGTGAAAAAATTACTTAAAAAATTAATTTCCAAAATAATCCTAAAATTTCTAAAATACATTTTTCCTCTCGTGTTGGAGTTGCTTAGACCAACATTAATAGGCATTTTGTCTAGCAAAAGTACAGAAAAAGTACATTGTGTATTTTGCCTAGCCACTTTATATTTATGTCTGTTGTGTATTGCAACAAGACTATCTATTTTAGCTAGTCATACAAACTAACTTAATTGATTTTCAACACACAAAAAAAAAAAAAAAAAAAATTTTATAAACAAAAAAAAAAAAAAAAAAAAAAATCATTCCTTACTCTTTTGCTAACCATTTCGGTTGCCATTCACTCATCGCTATCATTGCCCACGGTCACTGCATCCACCCATCTCCGCTTTGATCACGTTTAATAGTTATTTCTTTTGACAAGACCTGGTTTGAGGATTTAAAAAAAAGTTAAAAAGTCAAAAAATTATTAAAAAAATTAAAAAATTATCATTATTTATTAAAAAAGTTAATATACATAATATTAAAATACAAATCAATTTCACGTCACTCTAGGTACTGACGTGAAAGCAAAAGTAGTGAAAGGGAAAAAAAATTACATGTGTATATTCACTAAGTTGGATGGTAAAGTTGAATCCGTGGGAGCCTACCATGGATCCCGTTTTGATAATCCGAACCATTCAATTTGTAGAACTCGTCTATGACTATATATTTATAAAAAATCACGTCTATCGGATATCATTAATTACATGATCAAATTAGTTTTGTATAAAAAATGGATGGTGTTATAGTTAACAGTTGACAAAAAAAACTAATACGATCAGATAACTATCGATATTAAATCAACGTGATTTTTTACAAACATATAGTACTTGACGGGTTTTACGCATTCAACGATTCCGATTAGAAAAACAGGACCCGTGGTGGGCCCCCATGGGCCGAATAACACTGTCCAATTAAAGCCTAAGAAGGAGGTAATCTTTTCCTATCTCCTACCCAGCCGACTGCACTGTCCAACCTGTACGGCCTATTTCACTAACTTCTCCTACACACTTATTTATACAATTTTTTAATACACATTTTTTCATAACAAGTCAAAAAGTTAACCCAAACATTCATATTTTTTTTTCTCAATTTTTTAGTCCAAAAAGACAAAAAAATACACTTATTTGACACTCCAAACAACCTACTATCGATTTCCACCTCTCACTAAGAATGGGCCAATTTGAAAATGTGGTTAAAAGTCAATTTTTTTTTAATCTAATTTGTGTCACATCACTTTTCTATTATATATATATACTACGTATGCCCGTGTCTAAAGGCACGGTATAAATAATATTAAGATTAAAATACAGTTATAAAATATATTTAACAGACTGTACTCTACAATTCCAAACAAATCAAATATAAAAAAAATTAAATATCAAATAATGCACACCAGCCAATGCTCTGCAATTTAAAAGAAATTAAAACTAAAATGCACACCAGTTAGTGCTACTGCTACCAATCAAATTATAACTATATAAGAAAAACAAATATTGTATTGTCATACACCAAAACAGTAGGTTAAAACTTTATTAAAAAAAGTGGGTTAAAACTTTCCAGAATATGTATGCTTTACAAAAGATGTGTCAATAACATGTCTTTAAACATGTGTTTGTCCAAACTTCCTCTTCATTACTTTCGAAAAAGTCTTTGTATCAACTTGAATGTATTCCCAATGAGGAACACACAACATAGAAGTACCAAAGTAATGAAACCTAAGGATCTCAAACCTCAAAAATAGGTTCTAAATGCTTCTTTGGAGTCCTTTGCTGTTGTTGAAATGCATAAAAATTTGTAGAGTATTATTGTAATAATAACAACAAAAGAGTAATTCCAATTTCAAGTGTAAACATAACAAATTGATTAGACCAACTCCCCAAAGCTATATGAAATGAAAAATGTTACATGAATCATCCTAAAGCACACAACATAGAATAAACAAAGTATTGGGAACCACTTTTGTCAAAAATAAAAAGAAAAAATATGAAGAAAAATAAAAGAAAATTTAGCTCCTCTAGTGAATTAAATGTGAAATAAAATGCTTATTACACAAAGTCATAAAGCAACCTGCAAATAAATTAATAGTACTTTAAAAAAAACAATAAACTCACAATTATGGTTGCTAAGCCTACCCACCATCTGTGAATTAACAATCGTAATTTTTTGTCACGCCCCAAACTTACCCCTAAAAGTTCGAGCATGACCCATTCAGAAACAGACATATAACCTGGTATCTATAACATATGAGGCCTTATCGGAAGCACAAAATATTAAAAGAATACTGAACCAAACAACCTCCATTGAGCTATTTCTAATATGCCAGGATCTCATACATCACATACACTATAGTAGGCAGATAAAGTCCAAAAATATTCCTTAGCAGTACTTATACACAAACACATATACAGACCCAGCCCTATAATCGGGCATGTACAAAACTATTGAAGTTATATACATTTAACCTTGGAAGGCTAGTCAAAAAGTAAGCCCATTATCTTAATAAACTTCACAAAATAAGTGGCCTCGTATAGTGCCTGGATACACGAAGGTTGACAAAAGAAACCGGGCGTCATGGGTTAGGACTGACCACCTGGTTGGTTACCTACAGAAACAGACATAACAGAGAGTGAGCCGGGCTCCGTGAATAGTAATACATAATGAAACAATGATTAACTTGAAACATGACATATATCAATACATATGGAAGTGCAAAGATCACATAGTTAGCTTGATTCTGTGTTCATCTCATAACGGCCTTAGGCCCAGTCTTGAACATAACAGCTTGACATATCACATCTTAAATCATAATGGCTTGAAGCCCTTGAACATGGTGGCATAATGCCCTTGAACATGGTGGCATGATGCCCTTAAACTTGATGGCACAAGGCCCTTGAATATACTTATACGAACTCAAGAGGTGTCTCACACGGATTCTAGAGATGGCTCACGTCGTAGCACTTAGTTCCGTGTAGCACTTTGTTTCATATCATAACAACTTATATTGAATGGCCGTAGGCCCAGAGTCTTATAGAAGGAAGGTATTTCATCTTTCCCATTTCTTTTTTTACATACTTGAAACATTAACATAGTTGCATACTTGAAACATTAACATAGTTCGTAAACAAAATGCTAATGAGAATCATTAGCCATATGTAAAGCGGATAATGATACTACTACTCACAGTGTTGAGATGATGCGTTACTTCCTCCTGGAGTGTGTCCTGCACACATTTAAAACTTACACATTAGTTCATTTTTCTTATCCATTTACCTTCTGTTTCACTCCACTTCGAAGGAGTGTATCAATATCAAAAAAACCTCAAATACATATTCCAACAATATTAGAGGATTCTACACGCAAAACGGAGTAAACAGTGTTTTTCAGCATGAGCCGCACGTGCGGCTGTGAGCCCCGCACGTGTGGCAGTTGTCCCCGCACGTGCGGCCCTGAGGTCCCGCACGTGCCTTTTAGGCAGAACCAAACCACAAAATTTCAACATTTGCTGCACGTGCGGTAGTGACTCCCGCACATGCGGCGATTGCCTAGTTTTGGTTCAAAATTTGCAACAAAATCTCATCTTTTGGGGAATGTTTCCAAGGCTCAAGGATGAATCTTTTCAATGCTAAATCATGGTTCAAAAACATGTAATTCAAGGTATCACATACACAATCTAACTTGCATTAATCATGAACACAACTCAATTTGATCAACCAAGAATTGAAACTCATAAACATAATTCCATTTCTTGAAATTTTTAACTTCACTTGCATCTAACATAACCTAGAGACCCAAAATCATGATCATAAGAATGAATACCAATTGGATGAGGAATGAGACACATAAATGATAGGATTATCATACCAAAACTTCAACACACACATCCAAGACTTTCATCACACTCTAAAGCATACCAAATCAAAAACTTTCTCTTCCAAATTGAGGAAGAGGATTGGACTAGGGAAATTAAACTTACCTTAGCTTCAATCCCTCTAAATTCTTCCTTGTTCTTATCCTTTCTTCATTTTTCTCCCAGAGAATGTTTTATGAGAAGGTTCCTAAGTCTTGAGCTCAAGAGAAGCTCATAGACATACATATATAAAGAGTGAATAAAGACGAAAATCAATCGTTTAAACATCCGAAATTGAAATTTCCAAAAAATGCTTAATATTACCTAAAAATTATGCTGATTACATATATAAAATCAATTTCAGATAATTAAGCCCCTAAGGCTTCCAATTTCTGATTCAAGCATTCTAATGTAACAGATGCTTTTCTTGTTTAAACAGATAGACACCCTTAAACATGGAGTTCACTTACTTAATCTTAATGTCTCATAAAATTTCACAATAAACATTCAAAAACACAAAATAGGGTCTGAAAATATATCAAAAAAACATGTACGAGGGTCGGGTTATTACATTTTTACTACTCAAACAACACCTAATTAACATATCCTCTCGGATCACAACATATAATTATTAACTCCACACCTAGGCCAAACAAAAAAAAATTGAATAGGAGAAAAAAAAAAAAAAGGTAAAAAAATACCAAACAGAGAAAACTACATAATCATTCTGCTCTGGAGAGGTTGTTTTTGAATTGGGTAAGAGAGAGAGAGAGCAGTAGAATCTCAGATAAGCTCATCATCTAATTTTTTATTTTCTAGAGAAGCAAAAAAAGAGAGTAGTTTTTGGATGTAGAAATGGTAGAGACTATTAAGAAAAAAAATTTATGCTCTATACTAAATAATTTTGTCGACCATACATACATTGTATGGAAATAAAATCTGTAGATATTGAATCAAATCTGTCGAGCATACATAAATTATGAAAACAAAATAATTTTGTTTTAGATGATGAAAACAATTTTGTTCAATGATAAAAATATAAAAATTTCTGAGTTAAGCTCTCAATTTGGGCCTACGAAAGTGGTGGCCCTTTAAACATTATGCAAGCAAGCCATATGATATAATTGTATGTACATAACAACCAATTATTTGAGATGTTCTTTCAAGGTAACAACACAAAATTACACCCATAGCAGCTCACTTCATTCATGGTATTAACTGGAAAGGTGTAATTTGATTTGTAGGGTTTACCACTGGTTTCAATTTGATAAAATATGACATAATTGTATATGCATAATAATCAATTATTTGAGATGTTCTTTCAAGGTAACAACACGAAATTACACCCATAGCAGCTCACTTCAGTCTTGGTATTAACTGGAAAGGCGTAATTTGATTCGTAGGGTTTACCACTGGTTTGAATTTGATGAAACAAGTTAATTAATTTCATCATGTTTATCGTTAAGAAATGAACAGTCTATTATAAAATTATGCTTATCATTTATTTTTTTAAAATCAAATATGATAAAAATCATATAATTACAATTTTTATATAAATTATTATTTTTTCAATAGATAATATATCCAAAAAAATCCTACAAAATGGAAGACTCGCGTCATTAAAGTGAGACACGTAATGAATTTCACAAACCAGACTACAAAATTAGATGATGAGCTTAACTCATAATTTTTTTATATGAGCTAATTATATGTTTTCATCATCTACATACCATGTAAAGAAAATTAAGAAAATATAACGCACACACATCTATTCTATCATTGAACAAAATTGTTTTCATCTCTGTTACTCTGGATATGTGATCAAGGTTTAGAAAAAACTCTTCTGGATATATGATCAAAGCCACAAAACAATATTGAAATCGAAAAGCCAAATTAGATGTTTTGTGTTCCATTGAGAAAGAAGGCCAAGAAAAAGTTTGGGTTGTTTGTTCTGTGGTGGGATCCATCAAAAAGTGGTTGTACTTGGACTTATAATTTTGGGTTCTGATGATATGTTACAACCTGTTACATTGAAATTGAGATCTCCATTTCTTGCCACAAATGGAGAGAAGCCAAACCAGAGTAGCTAAATAAGCTTATCTATCAATAGGTTTAAGTTAAGAATTGCAAAACTCACAATACTTTTCTCATATATGATAATATGAGCACAAATGAGCTTTTCTGTCACATATCCAATGAGATATATATGTAATGCATACATGCATGTGCATGTGTGTTTTGCCCACGAAAGTAGGCAAATGAAAACTATGCAAGCTTTGTCCATTAAATTTTTAAGGCCAATCGTAATATCTGAAAGAATATAATGCATACACATGTATTTTAGCACCTAAGGCTAAGGCATTGTTCCTTTGAAGAATCAATAACTCAACCTGACTAAAAAGATTAGCAATCAAATGGAACAAACTGATTTATTATAACCATTATAGATCTCAATTCCACTAACAAACAACACACCCAAATGTATATAATTTCTCTTACCAATCCTGAATTCACCTCCAAATTCAAACCTAGCTCACCAAATCACCTCCAAACGTAGAAGCACTCCAATGTATATAATTCCTCTTATGATCAAAGGTTTATATAGATATATATACAAATCCAATGACAGCAACCCACCAACAAAACTACTTCTATTAAGTCTTAAAACTCAAAACCCAATAAAAATTCTATTTTTTCTGGCAATAACAAACACAATTGGGTACAAACAAATCAACATAATTTGAAACACATCAACTATACATAAACACAATTACAAACTAATCGAAACCCACAATGGAATTGAAGTTACTATCAAAAAATAAAAAAACAAAAACACTCACAGATCAATGCGAAGCGATGTATACAGAGAGCTTGGAAATCGAAATAGTGTTTTTCGGAGAATTGTTTTAGAGCAATCCAAATACCCAAAAATGATATCCAGGTTAAGGTTTAGAAAAACAAAAATCAAAATCAAAATGAGTACTATGTTACTCTGGATATATGATCAAAGGTTAATCAAAATGAGTACTCTAGATATATGATCAAGGTTTAGAAAAATCAAAATCAAAACCAAAGCCCCAACTCTTCTGGATATATGATCAAAGCCACAAAACAATATTGAAATAAAAAAGGGTTGTTAGGGAATCTTACCTTGCGATGTCGATGAAGAGAATTGAAATCGAACGGTGGATGAAGAGGAGCGTAACAAAGGAGGAGGAAGAGGAGCGTCGGTTGTGACAGAGAGGGTGTGCTTTTGTTCAAGAAGAAGAACAGACAGTGAAAGAGAAAGAGCGAGAACGATAGAGATAGAGATAGAGATAGAGAGGGCATGTGGGGGGGTTGAGACGTGGAGGAGCGTCGGGTGGGTTTTTTTGCTTCTGTTGAAGAAGAAGAACAGAGAGTAAGAGAGATAGAGAGGGGAAAGGTGGGGGGATGGGATCAGACGTGGGTGTATTTAGGCAGCAATCACTATTCATCTGAATCAATCTGAACCAGCGATATAAACTTAAGTTCATCTTAACCGTTAATATCAAATATATCTCTAATACATTTTATATATTTTCAAAAACCCTTCTCCATTATTATATGAATTTTTTTAAAAAAAAAGTCAAAAAAAAATAAAAATAAATAAATAAAAAGCCAACTTTAACTTTTCAAAACAACCCAATAATTACCTCCACTTACCCACTCTCTTAAAAAATCATCTTCGATTACCCATTCCTATGGCCGGGCAGGCCACCCCATTTACTTATTTAATATTTTTTAAGTATGTGTGCTTCTATTTTTTAGTTTTCATAAAAAATAAACATAATTAATGTTTCTATTTTTGTAAATGGCACTTTAAAAAATAGAAAAGTTATAAAAAAATTATTACAAATTCATAAAAAAATTGTAATTTTAAATATTAATATTTATAAAACTTATCAGTTATATATAATTATTTTTAAAATTTACACTGGGGCTAAAATTTTTCCAACAAAATAAAAATAAAGACAAAAACAGTGATTGGTCTATGGCTAATCATATGAATATTCTAAAATTTCAATTTTTGACTTGCAGTGAAAGAAAGGGAGTGAGTGAAAGTGAAACCCTTTTTATATTTCCATCGCCGATCTCTCTTCAGATCACAACACTAGTTCATTTGCTTCTTCTCCGATAATCTCAGGTCCGTTGATCTCAAATTTGCATTCATTTTCAAGTATATATATATTAGTCATCTATGTTTTTTCCCCTGAAAACCTCGCAATTTTCATCGTTTATTTGGGTATAATTTTTGTGGGTTTTGTAGATTTTCAGCAAAGATGACTCAAGATGTCGAGATGAAAGAGCAAGCAGCTCCTTCTAATTCTGTTTCGTCAACTGGTCCTTCTGCTTTGCAGCGTAAGTAACTATATATGATTTTACATGAGAACACATACATATAAAAATTCAAGAATTTTGATATATGAGTATTGGGTTTTTCTCAGAATTGAAGGAGATTGCATCGTTAATTGAGACTGGTGCGTATGCCCGGGAGGTTCGTCGGATTGTGCGTGCGATTCGCCTAACCATTGCATTGAGGCAGAAGCTGAAAGCTTCTGTGCTCTCTGCATTCTTGAATTTTGTCCTTGTGCCAGGATCTGAGGTGCACAGTCGGTTATCGTCTTATCTCCCCAAGGTAGTCTATTGAGTGGTGTGAATTTGGCTTATTTGGACTCTCTCATGCTCTTGTGATTGGTTTTTGTGTTCAATTTTGTATGCTGTTTTCAGAATTTATGTTGGTTGACTTATACAACTCTGTTTTGACACATTGGGGTTGGATTAGTTTGCTTGGAGGACTAGAACGGTTGGGGATCAAGTTGTTTGAGTTTGCTTATTTTTCATGAATTAGGCACTTTTTGTGTGAAACTTAAAATCATTTTAGGAAATGAGTTAGAATTGATGGTTTATTGATGTTGGAAGCATAAAAAAAGGAGTGAATATTGTACCCTGAGGTTCTCTTAGAAGAAGTTTTGGTGTCTGCCTGCCTTATTTACAAGAGAACCCATACATTTGTTTTGTGCAGTAATTGTGATACAGTCAAGTTGATACAAGATCGACATATTGGTTGTTGATTGAGTTATTAAACCCCATTAGGAATCTTTTTCTAATTATTTTGCTCTGGTTTATTTTGTCAAATATCTTTAGGGATATAATGGTGAAAGTTTGGGTTTAATTTGTTGCCATATTAGGTAGGGTATGGAAATTATTTGTTATTAGGGTGTGTAAGGTCTATAAAATAGCCTTTGGGGGGAAAATGAATTCGGCATTGGAGAATAAATAAAAAAATGAAATATTTGGAGGAGTTTTATAATTTGCTCTCTCCCTCATGGATGAGAGGCTTGGAAAATGCAACTTGCCCTCCCTATCATGTCTACTTTGTTCTTTCCTAGGAAGCACGGATACGGATACGGGATACGGATACGATACGATACGGATACGGCGATACGACAAAATTTGAAAAACTAGGATACGGGTATCCACTATACCAAACCAAACCAAGCCAAGACTTAAGTCCCATCAAATGGGGTCGGTTACATGAATCTTTCTTCTCCACGCAGCTCTATCAAAGGCTATTTCATTAGTCAAATTAAGTAGATTCATATCTCTATTTATAACGCTAGCCAACGTTAATCTAGGCCTATCCCGTCCCCTAACACTTCCATCTACCGTTACTGTATCGCATCTCTTCACTACTGCCTTTGTTGGTCTCCGTTGAATATGACCAAACCATCGCAATCGATTCTCTCTCAACTTATCTTCTATCGGTGTTATTCCTACCCATTCTCGAATACACTCATTCTTAACTCTGTCTTGTCTAGTCTTACCACACATTCACCTTAGCATCCTTATCTCAGCCACACTCATCTTATCTACATGTTGTTTCTTGGTTGCCCAACACTCCGTCCCATACAACATAACCGGTCTAATAACCGTTCTATAAAACTTACCGTTTAGTCTAGTGGGTATTCGTTTATCGCACAATACCCCAGACGCACTTCTCCACTTACACCATCCCGCCTTAATCTTATGGACCACATCTGCATCAATTTCTCCCGGTGTTGTGATAATCGACTATAAATAACGAAAATATTCACTCTTAGGCAGTTATTGGTTCTCAATCTTCACTTCTCCTCTACTTTCATTGTTACTGTTACTAAATTTACACTCCATGCACTCTATCTTAGTTCTGCTTATCCGGAATCCCTTAGATTCAAGAGCTTTTCTCCAAATCTCCAACTTTGTGTTAACTCCTTCTCTAGTCTCATCCACTAGTACAATATCATTTGCAAAAAGCATACACCATGGCACGTCATCTTGAATATTTCTCGTCAATTTGTCCATAACTAAAGTAAAAAGATAAGGACTTAAGGTAGATTTTTGGTGTAACCCTACAGTGATAGGAAATTCATTTGTCTCTCCAGCTGGCGATCTAATAGGGGTCACCACTCCTTTATACATGTCCCTAATCACGTCAATGTAACATTTTGTCACCCCTTTCTTCTCTAACACCCACCATATTATATCCCGAGGCACTCTGTCATATGCTTTCTCAAGGTCAATAAATACCATATGAATGTCTCTTTTCTTTTCTTTATACTTTTCTATTACTTTCCTCAAAAGATAGATCGCTTCCATTGTTGACCTACCAGGCATAAACCCAAATTGATTCTCTGACACCTTTATTATATTTTGCAATCGGTGTTCCATCATCCTCTCGCACACTTTCATTATGTGACACATTAGCTTGATTCCTCTATAGTTGTTGCAATTCTGAACATCACCTTTATTCTTATAGATTGGCACTAAAATACTCTTCCTTCACTCACCTGGCATGTTTCTAGTCAACAAAATTTTGCTAAACAACCTAGTCAACCAAGCAACTCCCTTTTTACCCAAATACTTCCAAGCTTCAATAGGGATATCATCGGGTCCTAAAGCCTTATTTGATTTCATCTTCTTAAGTGCAATCTCCACTTCAAAGTTCCTAATCCTATGATAGAACCTATAGTCTTGGTTTATCGTATTACTGGCTATTTCTTCCCCTATTGTCGTACCTCCATGTTCTTCATTTAATAGTTTCTCAAAATAATTCTTCCATCTTTCTTTAATTTCTTCATTCTTCACCAATACTTTAGAATCCTCACTCTTGATGCACTTACTTGATTAAAATCTCTATCATCCACTATATATGAAAAAAAACAAGACACTATATTTATTTCACTAATAATATGTATCTTGGTGTCATTTTTTGGGGTATATCGGATGCCATTTAGCTGTTTGATTATTCCCATTGATGCCTAAGGGAGGGGGGAATCTTTCTTGTGGCAAGACTTGAGCTCTTGAACTCCTGGTGAGATGCAGGGGATCTGAGCTTTAGTATTTTGACCTATTTAGCTGTTTGATTATTCCCATTGATGTTCTGAAGTTTTGTCCAAGCTTATTAAAGTATAAGCTCCTAGAGTTATAGAAATGGTTGTGTAACAGTTAGATATGCCAAATTCAGCTCAAGGCAGCAGAACCTTATATATATTGGTTGTCGGCTGTATTCTTTTCTACGGTTCTACAAAGAGTGGTCCTGTTAATGCTGGTATATTTTAAGAATATTGGAAAAGCTGGCAAATTATGTTTTATAAATGGTCGTTACTTATTTCTAATAAGATGTTAATGGGGTTAGTGATTACTAATGTTTTTATATGTTTCCTACTCTAGTTAACAAATTTTGAAGTTTGATCCGAAGCCATTAAGGAAAGTGCCAACTTTATACATTGCGACTGGATAAATCACTTTCTAAGAGTAACAACTAACCATGTTTACTTTCTTTGTTGTCTCTATTAGTTGACATATCTGCCAATATCTGTGTATATTATTACTGAATATCTTATCCAAAAAAAAAAAAAAAATACTAAATATCATATTTTAATATTTATGTGTTTATTATTGATAGAAAATTTATGTGCGCTTTTTTGTGCTCTTTTTTTTCTTTTTTTTTTTGTGTTTTTACGTGTTCATTACTCTGCCAATTTACATGTTCATTCTCTGGCACAATATAGGCAAAGTTAACACAAGACGAATCAATCTATCAATAAGAGGATAACATTGATAGATTGAGAAGCATAATCAATTATTATGTCAAACATATTGTGAACTCATTTTCAATAATATTATGTCAAACATAATCAATTTTCTCATTTTCACAGAATGAACAAAAAAAATGGATAACAAAGCAAAGGGCATCCACAAATTGAAGTGTGATGTATAGAAAAAATACAAATAACACATCATACATAGGACACGAACAAGAATGATAAGAAACAAGGATAAATACAACAATAGAAGCAACCTAGAACAATATATATATATATAACACTAGTTGCATATATAGTAAAGACAAGGCTTTACCCCAACAAGACAGCAACTGCCAACAACTTCAATACAAGTGAAAACAAAAACAATGAAGAAAATCCATTACACATGACCCAAAAATTGATCTTTTATATATAGTAACTAGCTTGACATAAAGTTTGGGCAATACTTTTTAAACTGAACTACAAAACAACACAATTTGAATCTATGGAAAATCTAATTTTTTTGAAATATTTTTCGAATACTTTTTCATGCTACATAACCTTTTTGATTAATTAGTGATGATATTATTGATGTGTAGGACACACAAAACTATTTGCAACACTGGGAATGGACTGCAAGTGTTGTGATGGCACAGGAGGAGGAGAATGCACAAGTACATGGGTTGAGCCTTGTTCTAAACTCCAATGCCTTCCTTGGAAGCTACATTAGCATAGTTGTATATATGTAATTTTTTATTATTATTTTATTTACTACATAGCTATATATACATTTATATATTAGAAGGTGTGCACACTCATATAAGTGTGCTTGAAATCGATAGTGTCAGATCTCTGAGTTTGATTGAATTCAATCATTACAGTTGCAATTACGAAAAGATATTTCGGAAAAGTAAAAAACTGTGACATTTTGCGTTTATACCAAGTTTATTGTAAAATTTATATAATAGTATATATATGTATGCTAGTTAAATGAAATGAAATTATAGTTTCAACTTGCAAGTTGTAACCCAATTTTGAAGTTTCAGGTTATTCCGTAATTCTCAGTTTTCCTTACATGAATATAAAATTTCTACTAGAAATTAAAGGGTGTTAGCTAGAAATTTTTGAGCTAGGAAATACGAGCTTTCCGAATAGTTTCTCAAAAACTTAATCAATTTTTTTATTTTTTTTTTATATTTTTTTTTAGAATATTTATTTGGACCTTCTTTTTTTTTTTTTCTC